AATTTACATTTTAATAGATGAACAATTTTAAAATATACATAATAAATATGTAAAACATATAGTATGGTGATAAGAGCTGTAGTAAAAGGAGAAGATGAAATAGGGCAGAGGAAACTGGGAGTGCAGAAGCCAGTTTTTTTGGGGGGGAGGGGAAAGGGCGGGATGGCAGACAGTTGCAAAACTGCAATTTTAAGTAAGAGGTTGAGATAGGCTTTACTGAAAAAGTGACACTTGAACTACTACATAAAGGAGAAGGTACTAGTTGTGTGGATGCCTGATAAAAAGCTTTGTAAGTAGTTGAAACAGCCAGTGCAAAGGCCCTAAGGTGGAAATGTGCCTAGTGTGTTTAAGAAACAAGGAAGCAGTATGACTGGAACAGAGTGGGGAGAGAATACAAAGACATGAGGTCACAGAGGTCATGGGAAACCAGATCATGCAGAATCCTGTAGGCCAATGTAAGGACACTGGCTTTCACTGTAAGTCAAATGAGAAGTCATAAAAGGTTTTTAAACAATGAAGTAATTTTAGATTCTCTTTTAATAAACTTTTTATTTTTGAATAATTCTGAATTTACACAAAAGTTGCAAAGACAATAAAAAGTTCCCATATATGCTTCACTCAGTTTCCTCTAATATTAATATCTTACATTGCCATGGTGCATCTATCAAAATGAACTCCTATTAACTGAACTCCAAATTATTTGGATTTTGCCAGTTTTCCCACTATTATCTTTTCTCTTTCAGGATACAATCTAGGATAACACATTGCATTTAGAATCTTACACTTTTACATTACAATTCAAGTTTTAAACTTACATCTTAAAAGCACCATTCTGGCTATCGTATGAGAATAGCCCATAGAGAGGCAAGGATTGAAGAAAGCAGGGAGACCAGCTAGAACACTATTACTATAACCCAAGTAAGAAATGACAGCAGCTATTAACAGACATCCAAGCAAGATATGATATGTCTACCAACAGCAGAAACAGTAGGAAATGGTCAAATTCTAGATATATTTTATACAGAGAATCAACTGGATTTGCTGACAGATTTGGTGAAATATAAGAGAAAGAATTGAAGATGACTCTAAATATTTAACTTTGAGAAACTGGCTGTATAGAGTTGCCATCAACTGAGATGAGAAGGAATGGGATAGGTGTGGGGGGGGGGAAGAGCTCAGTTTGTGACATTTAAGTCTGAGATACTTCTAAATAAATAAGTGATGATGTAGAGATGGACAACTATATAGGTGAGTCTGGAGTTCAGAAAGAGGGGGGGACTAGAATATGGGAGTTTTGGGTAGACAGATGGTATTTAAAGCCATTAAACGTTGATATCATCTAAAGGAAATGTAAACACGAGGAAAAGAAGAGAACCAAAGCTGGAACCCTGGAACTTTTCAACAGTAAGATATCAGGAAGAAAAGAATGAAGATTGAGAAGGAACAACCAATGAGATAGAAAGAAAACCAAGAGAGTGTGGTGTCCTGGAAGTCAAGGGAAGAAAGTATGTCATGGAGATGGGAGTGATTAACCGTGTCAAGGGTTGCTAATAGGTGAAACACAATAAGCACTGAGAATGATCAACACCTGAAGATCACTGCTAACACTAACAAGAGGATTTCAAGGGAGAGTAGGAGCAGTAGCTATCTCAAGAAAGAACAGTAAAAGAGAAATTGGGATTTGGAATTTGGAGCATAGAGAACTCCTTAGAGGATTTTTGCTTAGAGAAGCAAATAAATGGGGTAGGAAGTGAAAAAAGGTTAAGAGAAACATTTCTTAAGGTGAAAAAAAATAGCATGCAGGTCAAACAAGTTTTATGGCTCTTAATCTGACAGCCATGAGGAAAGAGAATTAAAAAAAAAAGAGTGGGCAAAAAAGGACAAAGACAAACACTAGATCACAAATAACTTCAATCTCAGACTACGGAGACTAGATGAGGATCAAAGAAAACAAAGACTTAAGTAAAACCACTTTTTTTTTTAATACATGTGACTATCACTGAATGAGAAAAAAGAGAAATCATAGAAAGGGAACAATCAGCACTATCAATATTGTTACTGAGTAGGACCCTATGGGGCCCTCCCAGAACAGACTCTCTCCCCCAACCCTCAGCATGCAATGTCCGCCACCTCCCTCTGGTCTATAGAAAAGCAGAAAGAAAGGACAACAGTCAATAGGACAAAATAATAATCATTTAGCCATTAAACAAAGTCAAGAAATCTTAGTTATTCCTCAAGGGCTATAGATACTATTCTGAGCCATATTCTTTGAGCGGTTTTGCAGTTACCGAAACCCCCACCAGGTGGAAAAAGTTAACTGCATGCTGCCCACAAACACGTAGACCCCAGACCATAAGGTTGATGATGTTAACTCCTGATTACCTCACCACCTACCAATCAAAAGAATGTCCATGAGCTGATCATACACCCTGCAACTCCCCCGCCTCACTCTTCTTTAAAACCTTTAAAAAACCTTTCCTAAAGCCTTCAGGGAGTTGTCAGGTCTTTTAAGCACTAGCTACCTGGACTCCTTGCTTGGCACCCTGCAACAAACACTGCACTTTCTTTTACCACATCCCGATATCAATAGATTGGCTTTACTGTGCAAGGGCAAATGAACCCAACTTTGGTCCGGTGACAATACTAGATACCAAGTAAAAAGAGAAGAGAGGAGAAAGTGGTCTGGTGGTATAAAAGTAATACCACTTTAATTTTAAAAACCTTTTAATTTAAAAAATCTTTAATTGAGTGCCTAATATGCAAGTCAATCAGTCCTACATCATTATCCCTCCCTTAAAGGGGTTTTTAATTTAGTGAAAAAGCAAGCCAGGTACATAACAGACAACTCTTACTGAGTGCTTACTCACAAATACTTGACTAGATGATTTACTTGTATTAACTCATTTAATCCTCACAATGCTGGGGAAGCCTGTGCATTCTCCCCACAGAAAAAATACATACTTACTATTTTTATATACCACTCTAGTGAACCCATGAAACCAAAGTTGAAAATACTCTTCTAGATGCAGGAGAGACAATAAATTTTGAACAAGGAAATGATACAGTCGTTTCATTTTTAGTAAGAAAGTGACCGAAATGGCTTAAAATGAGAATCCATAGCAGAGCTGCCAGAAAGGAGACTTTTGAAATAGCGATGTAAGACAGTACTTAAATTAGCTCACTAATAGCAAAAACCAAGAGCAGGGAGCTTACATGTTTAAAGGCCATGTGGTTCAATTACGCTCCCTAGAAACCTCACTGCAAGTCAGATTGACTTTGCTGAGTTACATGAAAAATATAATTGATATACAAATATGTATGTTCAGCCTTATTATTGCCATTTGTGTTCCTCTATGGGTAACTTAATAACTTTTTTATTGGGAGGGGTGGGAATTAGGTTTGTTTATTTATTTATTTATTTTTTAATCGAGGCACAGGGGTTGAACCCAGGACCCTGTGCATGCGAAGCACACACTCTACCACTAAGTTATACCCTCCCCCCTTCTATGGGTAACTTAAAAACAACTGGCAGTGTTCTTTCCTATTTTGAAGCTGAGGTATCTAAAAGCCCATGGCCTAAAATTAATTAAAATCCACAAATATAGTAAGTCAACTGGGATCTTTAACAACTTCAGTTCCTGCTCTTCACAAGTACAACATATTACTATCAAAAGTTCATAAAGACCAAGATGATCTTTACATGAAAGCAAAATGTCTACAAATACACTACTACTACTTTGGAAGCCAAGCTTGATGAGTTGCACAACATAATTTCCATAACCAAGCCAAGGTTATTTAATTTGAATGGCAAGACCTGCAAGGTACAAAATAAAGCAACTACAAGGGAGAGCATTAAATGGCTTGTTTTTTGCTAGCAGAAGGGTACAGTGCATTCTTATACATGTCTTATTCCCCTTTCCCATGCCCATTAAATTTCTGGAACAGATCATCTTTGTTCTTCTGCTGCACTCTCATGATCCCATAAATAAAGCTCAGTAAATACGTGCTAAATTTGTGTATTTGACCAACTCTTGACAATTCAATAGATTGAAAAAGTAAAGTTAGTTGTGGTTAAAAAACAAAAAGAAAAACAAAAACTTGGTGTGCAGTAGCAAACAATGTAACCACAGACAGCAGAAATCCAAACGTTCTAATCACTGCATTGCCCTAAAGGGAACAGTCTCATCGTTTGGCCAAGAACAGCACATAGATCAACACCTTAAATAAGTTAGTTTCCTTCCCTCTTCTTTCCTATCCCACTTTGAGTCAAATTTTTTTTAAAAATAACATTCTAAAAAGAATCATCTGCTGCCTGAGAAAATAAATAAAACTATACACTTGGAGCCAAAGAGTTGCCATAATTTTCTGATTCGCCTGAGACAGAGGGAAAAACCGCGCCTGCAATTTAAGAATAATCACGATAACTATGCAAACTGAACACGGTAAAGCACCTGTTTCTCCATCTAGAATATTCGAAAACAAAAATGAGGGTTAATAGTGCCTATCTAATAGGGTTGATTATTATCATTAGAAGAAGCTAAATAATCATACTACTGATTGAAAAAAAGTTGGCATGTGATTTGTCTTGCTGTACAACCACTTCTCTGGAGTACCTCATCAACTACAGAACTCAGGAAACGGCAGCTCCTTTCCACTTGTTACCACAAAAGTTTTTTCCAGACCCCAACAGGCCTAGAACGTTTCAGCCCCAGGTGGAACCCATCGACAATTTACAAAAAGCTGGGAACTGGGAGAGAGCGAATGCCAGGGTTAGAGAAATGACTAAACAGCCTACTCAACACAACCCTCCGGATTCAAGAGTCCTCCTAATCCCAGAACCATTACAGGGCATTCCAAGGGCGCTTTGCATTCCAAAGAATCCCTCAGGCGCTAACGCAAAAACTGGAAAGGGAGCCCAGGAGATGCGTGTCTAGCGGGTAAGGTCAGGGAACCCAGGTGTTCCCGAGAAGAGTCCACAAACAGAAGGCCCAGGGGCTTACACACAGAAGGAATCCAAGCCGAGAAAAATCTGCGCGCTGTGGAGTTCTAGAAAACTAAAAAATAACAACAAGAACAACACAGGACCATTGACTGCTATTACTTACAGAGGCAGTCCCCACTTCCGGACCCTATCTGTCTGCAACTACACTTCCGGTCTCCTACGAAAGGCCCGCTCCATCAGGCAGACGTCCGGCAGCCAATGAGAGTGCCATTTACTTCCGCGCGCCGTACTACGTCATTTAAATCCCGCCTTTTCCGGTAGAGAGAAGCCTATCGTAGCGTCTGAGGAGCGCGGCTCAGGAGGAGGTGCCCTGACAGGCCCAACCAGACGGCGCGAAGGAGCGAGAGAGGCAAGCCGGGCGTGCCCGCCTCTTCCGCCCTGGGCCCGGAAGGGTGATGTGGCTGGGGCATCGCTGGCCTCACTATGGTAAGAACCTGGGCTGTGGGGTCGCGGCTGAGCTTTGTGAAGGGGCTGCGGGCCCGAACCAGGGTTGGAGGGTTGGGCGGTGGTCCCGGGTTCCCGGCCGAGGAGCCCTGTCATTAAGTTGATTCTCACGGGGCTCGTAAGATGCACAGGCCCGGGAGCCATGTGGCCCCTGCACGTCCTACTGGGGAGAACCAGGGCAGACCGCCCAAGGGGGACCCCAGGGCCGCGGAGCTCCCCCTCACTGCAGGGGCCACTTTCCTGACTTGTTTTGAAAAACTGCCGCTGGTTTGGCTTAACACGTCGGTTATATGGACTCTTTGTGGTCATTGATCCTTTAAGACATTAGAGCTGTCTGTGTTTGTGCTTGTTATTTTGCGCCTCCTTACCTTCCTGCGGCCTGACCCTGGTGTTTTATTTCGTTGGTGTCAAAGAAACTCCAAACGCCACACCTTAATTTTCACATATTGAGTTAGTGGTCTTTCAGGTCCCTCCTACTCCATTCTCTTGACTTTAAAGATGCTGCTTTACAAACTTTGTATTTTAATGACTGGAATTGCCTGCAGAGGTGGTTTCTCTTTTGAGCTTAGTGTGCTTGGAATGGTGTCTGGCCTCGGGCCTTCCTCCCCTCCCAAACATTATTAAGGTTTTATGTGTTATTTTGTCTTACTGAGAATTCCTTTAATAGTGTGGGCCTCTTAGAAAAGCTTGAAATGAGTCACAAAATTTCGCAAAAGAAATGCTTACATCTCCAGGCTGAGAAAAATAGATAAAGCCAGCATGGCCAGAGGACAGCTGTAGTAATAGCAGATTCTCTTAAGCTACGTCTGAAGGCATTTTACCTTTGTTAGGGTAAATGCCAACAGCCTCTACACCAGGCCCTCGTAGTGAATTTATGAAGTCCATGTGCCAAATATTGCATTTATGGGCATATTTCTGGGGAAAGGACGCGCGCCTTTCTTTATAATGTCAAAAGCAACCATGAACCAAAAAGCTATTATACAATGAAAGTTGCTGAGCTTGTGTTCCCAGATGTTCCTGCAGAATCCCATATAGAAGAAACTGCTAGACATTTAACCGAAAACTCATTGTTGTTTGCTTTATGCCAACTACTGTGATTATAGCTGGGGCATAAGTCACACTCTCTTCCCTGGGGAAGTTTACCACTTACAGAAGAGATGGCATTTTATTGGCAGGTCGTTCCTTCCTTGGCCAAGGATATTCTCCAGCTTCTTTTCCCACTACCACATGATAGGACGGATACACTTGTATCATTAGTGAGCTGTTATTTAACTTAGAAAATGTGATTCCTTTTTCAGTTAAAAAGAGAGACTGTTAACTCAATTCTTGTATATCCTCCTCAAGGCTGAAGTTGAATTGTTTTATTCCAAGTACAAGTTTAAGATACATTCTTCTTTTCGTTATCTTATTGTCTTATGTACTCCCTGGAAGCAAGCTGTATATTGTGTTTTAAGATTAATAGTATTTGAACTGTCTGGCCATACTTGTTTTTTCAGAGTAACAATAATAGCTGTCATTTTATTAGCAATTGCTCTGTGCCACTCTGCATTTGAAAAATCAGTTTATAAGCATTCTTATTTCAAACACCTGAGTAGATGTTTACAGGTGAAGGAAGTGAGGCACAAGAGACTGATGTGTGTGGGGTAATATACCCGTAGATAGTAAAGCCAGGACCCAAACTTATGTTTAATGTCCAGATGCCAGAAGTCTTTGTGCTGTTGTTAATGAAAACAACATAACTGAGGATAAAATATGTTTTAGTGATTTGTTGCTCTCAAATATACAAATCAGAGATGGGTGGAAAATAGAAACAACTGCCAGGTGGATTTTCATTCCTGCTCTGTTCCTGTGAGCTTAGGATGTAAGCATTTTAGAGAAAGTACATTGTATTTGGAAGAGTTACACAATGAGGTTTCTTTTTGAGTTTGCACCTACACTTGGTATATTTGTGAGGTAACCCAGTGATAGAACTTATTACTGTATTTTGATTAATCCATTTTTAAGATGCATTTCAAGGCCATAAAATGTTTTAAGAGCAATAATAATTTACAACTATGAGAGCATAAATGTATCATAAGTATAATGTAATTATATCATTGTTGAATTAATACTTATAAGAATTTCAGAATCTCTTGTTCTTCCTAACTCATAACGTTCTTCAAGATTCATCTCTTCCCAAGAAGTCTTCCCTGTACCTTCTATTTTCTTCTACTCCTTTTAGGTATCTGTGGAAATCTGTAGTCCATGTATTTCCCCCCCAGTGTCCCTCTTGCATAGAAAACAGCAGTAAGATGTTGCCTATATTTCTCTCCTCTCTAGGCAGAGTTCTTAAGGTAGAAATGAGGTCTTTAATCTCTCTATCAAGGTGTAAGTTAAAGTTGGTACTCAAATAAATCAGAATCTGGGGATACAAAGTCATGCTCATTGTCTTCCAGGACTTTACAGTCCAGTGAAGGAGAGTATTAAATAAATTTTATATGCTATCTGCTAGGATGTAGAGAGATGACATATGGTGGAAAGAACATGGCTTTAAACTGAGTCAAACAGGGTCAGAATCATCCCCAGTTCTCATCCTTTACTTGATTAACCTGAGGAAGTTTATCTTCATTTCTTTCTCTTTTGGCGTGTTAGGTGACTTACAGATATTCTTATTTAATGCTCACAACCCCTGCTAAGTAGGACCTATTGCCCACATTTTATAGTTAAATTGAGTATCAGAGAAAGGGTGTGAAATAATTTCTTTCATCTTGTAGCTGAGATACATAGAAACACAGAGGAAAGAGTAATTCTCCAAGTGTTGCAAATGGAGAATAGAGTTGAGGTGCCTCTAACTCTGGACTGTGGCTTTATAGCCATGAAAGTTCTCGGGTTTCAGTAGAAAGTGTAAATAAAGAATGTCTCTCTACAGTTTTGAAACAGGACCAGAGATACCAAATAACTATTTAGTCCAGCCCACTCATTTTATAAGTGAAATTAAACTGACGCATAGAGGTGCTGATTTATCTAAAGACAAAAATGTTTACTGGCTTCTGGTGCTAAGACACAGGTAATGTGCTCTTAACATCGAAACTGTAAACAATCCTGGTTTTTTGGTTTCAAATTAAATCAAGATAACTTGTATATTTGGTATCAGTGCTACCTTATAGTAAGCATCAAAACTTGAACTTATGTGCTAATAATGCCCAAAGAAAATGTTAATATTTCTGTATGTTAGTGGAAATCTTTTCAGTCACCTGTGGTCATTTATCTTGTGCAAACAAGGTGTTGTGTGTGTTTGCACACTCACATACAGACTTACATTTATCCCTGTATTTCCATGTTTTCCATTTTAGTAGATAATAGTGGTACATAGGAATTTACAAGTAGAAACTAGTTGGAAAATGCTGACCTGACCTAGATTTGTAAAAGATAAAATGCTGACCCACTTTTCCAGTGCTGTATAATTTGTATCACAGTTAGGTCAGGAATGCCATTTCTGGGTTTCCTTCCATCTCCAGAGAGGGACGGATGGCTTTAGTTTTGTGTAAAAACAGATTAAAACAAGTAAAATCATTTCTGTTTGGAGTTTTAAAAATTCAGTTCTTCGGTGTTCAGTTAAACTGGAAGAATTAGTATATCAATAAAAATTTACTTCCCACATAGGAGGCAGTCAACATTTGAAGCTTCCAGAGAGAGTTATGCATAAAGAAGGCCCTTGTCACCAGATTAGCTAAATAATTTATTCTCATAATCCTAAAAATAAGTAAGTTCCATGGAATGCAAGTGATTCAGGACTAATGAATATACTGTCTGCTTAGAGTCTTTTCTGCAGATTAAGTATGATTAGCAACCAGTCATTGAGCACTCTGGGCAGAGCACTGTTTAGCATATGTATTTCTTCTGCTTTTCTCAGTGTTTCTTTGTGCCTTTGTGCTGCTTGCATACTTTCTCCCCTTTTCCTTCTATTCCTAATGTTTAGGATAGTTTCTTTTACTTAGAAGTATTTTTACTTATACATCTAAAAACAAAACTATTGAATTCTTGCCTTTATATCCATACTTAATATGGTTTTAACATTCAAGAATGACTCTGAAAATAAGAAATTATATCTTTACAGATAAAAATTGAATCTAAAATAAATATTCTTAACTTTTCAAATTGACTTGAGAATAGAGAATTTTTAAAAGATGTGTCAACATTAGAGGTAATTTCATGTTTGGACACTAAGTTTTGCATTGACCAGTCTTCATCTTTCACTGATAAATTATTTATTCCAGTGGTGACCAAATGAAAGTCTGAGTCATTTTTATTGTTTCAATAGCCTAACAAATTACAGTTTACTTCAAAATAATTATACAAAGTGACTGACTCATCAAGTTTATTTCCTTCTGATTTAGATAAATTCATTAGCACAATGAAGCATGTCAGAAGCTCTGGTTAGCTGGGAGTAGTACGACAGGCCTGGAGTGTAGAGGGATAATAAAAGGGGCCTTTGGAGGAAAAAAAGTTTGGAATCAGTTTTTAGAACAAGTACCATTGTTCTTAAGAGTAGAATGGTCAGGGCAGGGTGGCTATATTCCAGGACCCCCAAAGGTTCCTGTTCTGATTGTATTTGAGGTTGTGCTCCGGAGGGTGCCACAGTCAGCCCTGAGTCTAGGGAATGTTTTGGATACTCCTCATAAAAAGGAAATGTTTGTAGGTGTGGTAGACAGAATGCCCTTCTCCCCGACCCCCTTAAAAAA